TTTTCATGTGCTCAGACTCGTTTCTTGCATCGTAATTTATTATTTCACATATCTATCTCCATTCCTTTCCTGTGCTGTAAATTGGCATCCAGCCTAATCAGGCTGGCCAGTCGACATGGGACAGCCATGACTCTGGACAGGGTGTTGAGCGATGGGAGGCCTGATTAGAAGCAGAAGCAGAGATTCAAAGACTTGGGGAAGAGCTAAGGCTGGAAGGGGATATGAGAACAATTGTTCTCAGGTTGGCTCCTGACTGACTTAGCAGGGAAAAAACAGCCCACAAGAAGGAGTCTGGCCTCGGTGCTGACTCTATTTGATTCGTGGTAAGCCTCATACATGTGCAGGTCCTATGGCCACAAGGAGGACGACCCTCAATGAGATGGACCGACCCCGTGGCCATGACAATGAGCTCCAACGTGGCAGTGATTGTGAAAATGGCACAGGACAGGGCAGTGATTGTTTCTGTTGTCCATGGGGCCGCCATGAGTGGGAGCTGACTCAATAGGATTTAGCTACAACAACATGGCCTAGATAGAGATAATGAAGTGGAGCGATTCCAGCAGATGGACAAACATAAAGATGCCAATAGGGAAGGCCTTTGCTTCCTCGTTTTTGCATGCTTTTCCCCTTGTCCAGAACACACACCGATTTTTCTTCCAGAAAATCTCTCCCTGAAACAACAATAGAGCATTCCAGCCAGGCATATTAAACTGGTTCTGGGAGGTTAGGATAAGAGGCAGCCCCTCCGACCGCCTCCATTGTAAATGTTGGTCCATAATCATTAGGGGACAAAGGAGTTGCCAAGAAATCTCCCAAAGAACAATGGAATTGGAAAAGAAGTTAATTCTGAGATCGGTCCAGTGCCCATTGCTCTTCCAACAACCTGGAGCGGCAGATTCATAAGAAGGAGGGAGCAGGGAGACAGAACGAATTCTGGACAGTTCATGAAGGTCATTCTACTGGAACATAGTTCCCAGCAGAGCCATTGTTCTGGAATGGTTGGCAACATGCTCAGAAGAATACTCACAACCCTCCCCCATACCCTACAAAGGATGTATGGTATTGATAAATCTTCTGGCCCATAATGCACAATCATATCTGTAAGAATTGTACAATCATTACCACAATCAATTTTAGGACATTTTCTTTCTTTCTTCCCCTCCTGTGATGAAATCTCCTTAAGAGGAGTTGTGTAATCACATTCAGTTCTAGTGCTCCTTCCCCTGGATCTCCTCAACCTCCAGTCCACCTCCAGGATTGCTAACCCCAGCCTGACACTGACATTCCTAGGGGTCCGAGTGTCCAGGACCAGGTATGTCTCCATCCTCAGGGAGAGAGGGACTTCATATTGACTTCACGCTCTGCAGTGTCCCCAGGACTGGATCTAACGTGAGTGGGAATGGACACCACATGACCTCTCACCTCAGCCTCCAAAGAGCCCCTGAGCTTCCCAGAGAATGGAGGGCAGTGAGGGAGGGGGTGCAGCATGGTCCTCCTCCAGCAGGGGGCAGTAACACCAAGTGACAGTTCACATTCAGGAAGAGCTTCTGTCCCTTCATGTCTCCTCTCTGACCACTTCCAGCCAAAGAGGCACCAGGAACAAGGGGGTGGGGGGGAGGTGTCCCAGGCTGCGGGAGTTGAAGAAGGGAGACTGGGCCTGCCCCCAGTCCCCTGCAGGTCTGCCTGGATCAGGAGACGTTCAACAGAATGAGAGGCTGAACTTTGAGATTGGCTCAGAAGGAGTCTGTTTTATTTTTCTCCAA